CAACCAACCTGCTGAAAGTGGAGCGAAATAACATTGCATCAGAGCATTTTTTTCCCTTAAAAGGACGTAACTTTGTCCTATGTAGCGTGCCCCTTATTATTGGAACATTTGAGGCATACCTCGAAAGTCAGATTTTTCTGAAGCCCGCACTCTAACAGCTATTCAGCAATTGATCAAAAGAGAGCGAATCGCACCCCATATTTCAGCTTTTCATCATACCTCTAACACGGCCCGCACCCCATACCTTCCGCCGGGAGCAGTCGACCGGGGCCGAGACCCCCCATCCGCCGGGAAGAGGAAGGAATGGCAGGCGGAGCACCCCGTCCCGCCGCCGTTCTGCCCGGAGAATCCTTCGCAGAAGCAGGCTTCCTCCGCTGGGCCGTGCCGGAACTTCTCCCAGTTCTCGAGGCGAAGGTGAAAATCCGCATCCATCCTCCGGCAAGAAGAGCCAGCAGTAGGTAAGCTTATGACTTGCGCATGTATACACTGTTGCCATTAGTAAAAATCCAACCCTCGTATTACTGTAGAATATAAATTCTTTAGTTCAGTTTCAGCTTATTTCATATGATTGTGCCAATTTAATCCGATTTAGAATTTGGAGTTGGCGACAGTGGCGCCATGAAAAACTCCGGAACTGCAGTCAATGCCCTCTCAAATGTTAACATTTTCAAGGACGAAAGAACAGGTTACACTTGTACCGCCTTCGTGGATTAAATTTCTCGTCGATGCTTGTGGGGAAAAATATGAAACGAGTAATAAAGCGAAGAAGAACTACAGGTCAGAAACGGACCGAAAATATGATTTGAGAAAAACAGTCAACAACTGCAAGGCTTGAAGCAAGCTGAACCTTGTTATTTTGTTATTTATGTTATTATGTTATTTTTTGTTGGAGATGCTAGCTCATTGGCGGGACAACGGAAATATTGAGCCGTTTCATCCCGTCCTGTGGGAGGCTCTTTGAAATCACACTGAGAGGAAGTTCACGAGGGAAAATATTACTGCCCCCATGAAGAAAATGCTAAAATACTCTAAAATACCAGGAGAAACAGTTTCGAGCAATTAATCGTCACCGTTGTGAATTTTCCTGATAAAATGGCAGGAATAGCCCTAAATGAATATAAAAGCGTGGAATATACATTATGCTCGAAAGGCACTCACGTAGCAATACGGATCGGTGAAGAGGCTCTGAATGCTGACGAGTATTTTGGAGAGATCCAAAGCACTGGACCAATTCTGCTGGAGGATGTCGATCCCGATGTCCCCATGCCGACTCACGTTCGGGTGGAAGACCTTGGTGAGAAACCTCACCAGCGGCGGCTTGCAGGGGTAAGCGGCGGGAAACCAGAGGGACAGGTAGAAACGGCCTCCCTCGTATGGACTTCCAGGGGGACCAGCGATGGACGCCTGCCAGTGCTGAAGCGAAGAGTCGAGCGCCTGCGCCCGTATTCCCTCGGGGGGATCCTGGGAGAGCGTCCTGCCTTCGTTGTACAAGCGTTGTCGGTAGAAAGGCATTTCTCGGTACACGGGAACGTCGGAGGTCCACGCGATCGTCTCATCCCCAGACTGCTTCAGCTCGTTCTGGTACAGGCAATAAATGCAGGGAGCACTGAGGACCAGGCTGGTGTAGGCACGCCTCCAAGGAAAGTCCCGCCTCAGACACACGTCCATTTCCCCACAAGGCATCGGCCGAGGCGAAGAGAGAAACAGCGGCCAGCGGCCATGGGTGTTCCTGTGCCATTCACTCTCGCGCTCCTCCTTGGAGAGGATGTCAGACCACCGCCTGCACACGAGCGAGGCACAGGCGAGGGAAACGTCATCCAGGCGGGAGAAGATTTTCCCAAGCAGCTCGTCGGAAAGGATGCCGATGAGGTCCGAGGAAACCTTGTCTTCGCTTCGTGCTGTCGGGCTTGCGACTCTGCGGACACGCACGTAAATGTGTCGTAGTCGTGGCAGGCAGGAAAAACAAAAGCCATAGACTAGACTGAATTTTTCGTGTGTCTAAATTTCTATCAGTCTATTGCCGTTCTAGCAACCAACCTGCTGAAAGTGGAGCGAAATAACATTGCATCAGAGCATTTTTTTCCCTTAAAAGGACGTAACTTTGTCCTATGTAGCGTGCCCCTTATTATTGGAACATTTGAGGCATACCTCGAAAG